GTTCTAGGGTCTTCTAAAAAATTGACCTTAAGAGTGGATATCACCAAATCAGAATACGGCCGGGAGATGAGTAAAAGACGGCGTTTAAAACACAGCATGGTTTGTATTGGTTGATGGTCATGCCTTTTGGACTATTCAATGCGCCCAGCACTTTTATGAGGTTTATGCATCAGGTGTTACGGCCTTTCATGGGAAAGTTTGTAGTGGTCTACTTTGATGATATCCTTATCTACAACCTGACGTGGGCATCTCATTTTGATCACCTTCGTGCAGTTTTTTATGTGTTGCGGACGGAGTGCCTGTTCGTTAATCGGAAAACGTGTTCTTTCTTCACTACTTCTGTTACCTTTTTGGGTTTTGTTGTGTCAACTGTTGGTGTTCATGCAGATCAATCTAAAATAGATGCAATTTTGGAGTGGCCCAAGCCAAAAACCATGCACGATATCAGAAGCTTTCATGGATTGGCATCCTTCTACCGCCGGTTCATCAAGAACTTCAGCACTTTGATTGCCCCAATCATAGAGTGACTCAAGGGACATTCTTTCCAGTGGTCTGAGGAAGCAAAAATCAGCTTTCAGTTGGTCAAGCAACGGATGACATAGGCTTCAGTTTTGGCACTTTCAGATTTTGATAAGGTGCTTGAAGTAAATTGTGATGCATCTGGAGTGGGCATTGGTGGTGTTTTGAGTCAGGAGGGTGGTCCAGTGGCATTTTTCAGCGAGAAGCTATCAGGATCAAAGATGAACTATTTTACCTATGATCTCGAGTTCTATGTCATAGTTCAGTCTTTAAAGCATTGGCGTCATTACCTGATACAGATGGAGTTTATTCTTATCACTAATCATGAAGTCCTGAAGTACATCAATGGTCAACATAAATTGAGTAGACGACATGCCAAGTGGGTGGCATACTTGCAGAAGTTCACATTGTCACTAAGGCATCAAGCTGGGAGCCTGAATCGTGTTGCGGATGCATTGAGTCGTCGTACATCACTTCTCACCACTATGAGCACCAATGTCGTGGGATTTGAGATTTTTCCGAATATGTATGCTGCAGACCCTTCCTTCGAGAAGATAATTCAGGAGGTAAATAACAATCGGCGACATGATTTCGTTTTGCATAATGGGTAT